ATGATGCAAATGTTTTATGCAACATGTTTTTAATATACTTAGATAATTTTTTAAAAACTAATTGGACATTTTAATGGATTTATGTTAAAAAAAAATGTTCAATTTTTTAAAATTCATAACACTTTTGTGAATAAATATGTGAAATGTTTTAAATGAATAGGTACGTCTCCATTTTAAATAAATAAAATTAATTTAATTTTCTTTCCGAGATATACATTTTATAATTTATATATTTTAAATTGATGATTGATGTTCACAAAAATAGTTTATTTGATAAAATAATGTAAATGATTTAAAATAATTCTTGGTCATTCAACATTTTCCGTGTTATAATTGTCACGTTTATTCCATTCGTACTGTATTTGAAAATCAAAATCAACGCCACCTCGCGAGATCAAGAGCGCAATCGATGCTAACGTGCTAGCGCGCTACGTGATCTCCACGACGCAAGAGCGGAAGTCCCTCCCTCTGGACCGGAAATCCCTCTTTTTGGACTTGAAGACGAGAGGTGCAGGACGGTGGTTCCTCCTTGCTCCTCGCCCATAGCAACAAAATGATGAGTTTTTGGCCATTTCTTCGACCGAGTGGAGACGTGTGCATGGTTGTGCAAAGGTGAGTCGAAGCGTCTCGGTTTGGAGTAGCCAGGATGTACTACGCTATTCCATTATTAGGCTGGAGACGTTGGCTAGCTGTAGCATGTAGCTTAGCTGCTCGCGTGCTGTCCACGTGGAAGACAAGCGAAGCTCGTTTCAGATTTTAGGACATGATCAAGAGTTTTTTTTTTCAACAAAGTAAAAATATTTGGGTTTTCAAGTACCAACCCCATGACCAAAACTAAGCTTACAGTATTTCATTAAAAAAACAAAACCAACGCGGACTGTTTCGTAACTTCCTTACAATATTGGAACCCGTGTGTGTAACTATAGCGAGGCATACACAAAAATGTATACACTTTTTAATTATTTAAATCCATGTCTAAAAACATGTTTTGAATGAAACTCCACTTCATCTGTCGCGATGTTTTAAGTAAAATTAAACATGTAAAAATAAAATCTCAATTCGAGTTGTGTCTTGTCGTCATTATAAATATTTTCACAGATTTAAATGTTTTGTTTGGATTTTATGTTTTAAAATTATTTTTTCTAGTCGACCAATACTAATAACTCACTTAAGTCAATGATGTCCTCTTGAAAGCTGCGATTGACTTTCGGTCAAGTTTGTGTCTTTTTGAAGCTTGCATCGACTCCCTTGAGATGAAGTTATTAATCATGCGGCTCGACAGATGAAAAGTGTCTATATTTGTAGTTGGACAGAGGGGATGTAGCCTCTCGACCATTATCTATTTTTTTTGGACCAGAGGATGCAAGGTCTCGGCAGAGGTGATGACCCATTTTTGAACTCTCGGCCTCGGATGCTTTGTGCCATTCTTACTCCCAAGCTTTGTTGTGGCGAGCACTTTGACCTTAAGGTGATCCATCAGTGGTATTGGCGATGCCGTCAGTGCATCCTCTGCTAATCAATGGGTCTCACTTGGGAGTAGGGGGGGGTCCATTTTTACAATAAGCGTCACGTAATTGTGCAGGAAACGTTTACGCGGAGCTCTTGCCAAACTTTGGCTTTTAGGGGCTTGAAACTCAAACCATGACCAGTCTTGCAGCGTGAAATGATGAGTTCACCTTTTCGCCGTTTACCCATCAGACAAACGAGTGGTGAGATTGTGACAACTGAATCACTCGCTGCAAGATGTGGGCCATTTTGACAAATCTACAGAGAGTTACTGTCAATTAATATAAAAGTAACACTACTTCTTCTCTCTCCCCTCCTGTGACAATAGATAATCAGATGGACAGCTGTGAAATATGATCTACAGTCTCTGGTGAGTCCATTATTCAAACTATTCCTGACTAACTCACCGCATAGATGTCGGCAATAATGAGTTCCTTTCATCCAGCAGAAATTAGAGTGCTGACATCATTATGACTGAAATATCAATAGATGTCCCAATGCACATCCACAATTGCAGTATGAAATTGACTTTTTTTTTTTTTTAACTACAGATACGTGGTGACCCTGACGGAATGCAAATCAGGTTTGCTCCATCTTGTCTCCGGTAAGAAAAGTGTCAAAACGTTTGCATTTCCTCCACCAGTGGCCTCCGTATTAATCGACGCTGTACCCAAATTATTCTCTAACTGAATGCCACACCATAAATATGAGTAGATGTGTATGTATATTATTTTTTTTTAACCCAAATTATATCCTCACGATTGATATTAAACGGCGCACATCACTTCTCCAGCCACCGTGGCATCTGTAAAGCTGAAACACAAGATGGTGGTTATCCACAATAAAACAAGCAGCAGATGCCATAGAATTGGGTGGGGGGGATATATCACTACACTTTTTATGTGTTTTTTATTAAGATTGTTCTTGCATGATTTGTGATTGATTTATGAGGGGTAGAAAATGCATGACAAATTTTTAAAATGTAATTGACTGCTAAAATAGTGGTACGTAAACAACAGTGAAAACATCTTGAATCTGATTTGCGAATTTTACAAACTCATAAGGCAAATAAGATTCTTGGATTTGATTAATAATATAAATTGTAAGTCTTCTCAAACAATCGCCTTATTTATTTCCTGAGGGGGAAATCGGAACCGTGTATAATGTGGCCAATTTTAGCAGAGGTGGCCAGCATCTTGAGAGGATGTTTAAGGCAAAATAAAAAATGTAAAATATGAACGCGGGTCATTATTTTAAGAGGCTGGTGTGTGGCTGTAAATGGCTTTTTTTTTTTTTAATGCATCTTTTCAATTAAAAGCAGCTGTTTCATCCTGCAGTTGAGAAAATAAAGGGCCACTGGTTGAGGAAGCAGCGCGTCAAACGCATCTTGTCACGGCTTGTAATGATGAGTTCACTTTTCGCCGTTTACCCATCAGACTAAAGGGTGGTGACACTGTGACGACTGAATTTTGTGCAAAACGGCAACATTGTAGATGTGCTCAATTGGCTCACGTTCGGAAAGTGACCTGCTATTTTCTGTTTACAGGTAAAGAAGCGGTATAAACAGAAAGAAAGGAGAAATTTTGTTCATCTCGGGTATGTATTTCAAACTGTCACATGCTGTCTTAAAATATCCACCGGTTACCCGAGCCGTTTATCCTTATGAAAAATAAATCATTTGAAAAAAAAAATGGCTGTTGCCATGGTGCTTACTTCTTGGAACTGCTGTGTTTAGCGAAGCGCTGGTCCGCTACTCCTCTGTGACACAGGCATCCGCTTGCGGCGCGTAGGCGTAGATGAAGCGTAGGATGTCCTGGCGGAGTTGGCCCAAAGCTCGATCTCTCCTGAGCAGGCCATCCGCATCTCCCAGCTCGCCGGGGAACACGGCATCGGGCGGGATAACGAGCACAGACGCCCCTGTGGGGAAGAAGCGCTGGGGTCGTTTTATCACGCAGGGGAGACTTGCGTTGCAATCATGAAATGCGGAAGCGCACCGTGCTTGAGAGTGACCGAATTTTCGCAGAGGAGCACCGCAATCACGGCGTCTTCCTCCAGTACCTGTCGTCGCAGGCTTAATTTGCAGTGGGCCTCTGCTAAAGAGATCCTGTTCCAAAAAACGTGAAAAGGATCACTTTTGTAAAAATTAAAATGGACTAAATGAAGCAGAAGATCGGATTTCTTTGAACTGTGCACGCTTGCAAAAGATGGATTTAGCGAGAAGCCATTTATGGCTCACTGGGCGGGGGCTATGCCACCAAGCGGATCATAGGATACCGCAGGTGTTTGTTACATTTCAATTTGTTTAGGAGTCCCAGAAATGAAATCTTCTCAAAATTGGAAGCATGTACAGGAGAACTGCCGCTTACAACAATTTGACCGAAGCCACCGACATTTTGACGCTGTGCCTTTGTGAGCGGATCACGCGGCTGGCCATGTAGTAACCGTGGAGCATCATCTGCGCGCCGGCACTCAGATCCACTTTCAGGCTTTGTGCATGGGCCACCAGCTGGGAGGGAGGCGGGGGTGAAAAATCAGGTCAAGGCATCAGTGGGCGTGAGATTCTCGCGTTGCCTCACCTCCTTGTATTCTTGACTGGAGAAGTTGAGCAAGGATGGGTAGAGATATTCTCCAGGGTAAATTGCCTGCCGGAGGGTGTGGACTGCCTGTGCAAGCGACTGCTTCCCGCCGTGATCCACGCACTGAACCACCAGACCAAAACTTTCCGCCAGCTGAGGCAGTATCGCACCCATGTCCTACCCGCAAAGAAGAATGCTGCTCTGAGCCGTTACGTCCAAGTGTTATCCAAGTGACGCTTACCGCCGCTCCCATGGGGGCGTCGTGCGCCCTCCCAGAGCGCCAAGGTGGGTGGGTGGAGTCTGTGAGGGCCCAGAAGCTGCACAAGACGGGGAAATGAAGCCGCTGCTCGGCGTCCTCGCCATACTTCTTGCCGGGGATGAACACGGACATCGTGCGGCTGTCCAGAACTGACACACCAATGTGTGATTTCAAGGGGAGGCATTTTGTCAAATCGTAGCAGATTTGGTCTACCTGACTGAATGTCATCCAGTTTGTCCTTTCTGAAGCCACTCAAATCTCCCAGCATGCAAATGCCACCGGTGGCCAGCAAGGCGGAGCCGGCATGGATATTGGCGGTGCCTGCCCCATGCTCATCCTGGGAGAGAGACGCAACCAGCTTTCCCGAAGCCGAATGCCGCACCCCGCGGCGGGCCAAGCTTAAGCCGTATGCCATCAACCTGGCAAGTAAGTATGGTGGTGTTTAATTTGTTCCGTAACAATGCTAGAAACGCAACTCTGGAACACCGGGTTGATTGTAAACACTTGAACAATTTGAGCTTTATGATTATTCGCTGTGCGGCTCCTGGCGTGTGTGCTTTGGCCACCAGGTGGCAGTATAATGTACATACACGGAGATGGACACAATTGCTTCGTAAACTGCTGAAAAACTTTTCGCTGAGGATAAAAAAAAAAGAGTCAAAATGTGGCCTTTTGCATTGTGTCGAAAGAAGGTGCTGTGTATTTCAACAAATTGATCAATCTAATCTAGGATGGTCACAATGTGTCAAAATAGGAATTCAGACCCTTCTACCTGTCAACTATGAGCTTGTCGTCTGCCGTGACCAAGAGATCCAAGTTGAATACTGTGTTGTTGGCATCCGCTCCGGTTTGCACCAAGCTGAGCAACAAGCTGAGCTTCAAGGTGTTGAAGAGCCCCGGAGGAACCACATCCAGACCGAAGCAGTGAGCGAGCATGGCGGAAAACCTCCAAGGAGAATCACTGGTTGCCTTTAGCAGCTCCTTGAACTTGCTGTTGACTTCTTGTGGATCTACAAGTACAAGTGAGAATTTATATTTCCTAAATGGAACTGTGAATGTGAAAAAAATGGCAGAAACTCTTCAGTTAGGAAAGCCAGGAAACCTACAGACACAATCGTGAATTGGCAAATACATATGGAAATTTTAGGCGGGGTTGACTTTCCAGAAATGGCCCGAGACTGCAGTTCGGCGCTGTCAAACGAGAGCTAAATTATGTTCAAGTCAAAATTTTACTGGAACCGAATTTTAAATGAGCAACTATGCCACCTGCTGGCCAATATTTTGAAATCAGGTCGCAACCGGCAGTGTGTTCACTTAATTAGGACACGTGTGTTGCATGTTGGGAAACAAAGTTTGGATGAAAAACTTGGACCTGCCAATCGTGCCCCGTGGGCTAGTTTCTTTGATAAATGGATTATATGTGCTGTTTGGACTTTTGATGACCATGCGTGCACCCACACCTAAATACAGCAGAATGGGCCCATGGTAAGAAAAACGGAAGACATTTAAAAGTAAGTCAAACCAACTTTTTCTATCGGAGCATGTCGCCATTCCTATTGAGTGTTGAATGTGAATATTGTTGAGCTTTATTAGTTTGAGAGGAAAGGCGACAACAAAAAAATCACTTCACCAGAAGTAGATAATAACTGGCTTCTCGTGTGTCTTGGAGATGGTCGATACCACTTTTTTTTCCCAGACCAATATCAGTGCGAGTATTCACACTTTGAGTGCTCACCGATACCGCGTACCGATACTGGGTGGTGATGAAAATTTTCATTTAAAACGAAAATTTGGTACAGCAGCTTTTTATTTTTGCCTTAAGTATCGGTGGCTGGGAACGGCAAACACCTCGCGGACCCGCTAACTTCAAATCAAGCCGGTGTCAGTACTCGCCCATCCGGATTGTGTATATTTGAACTGGATTCTAATAAGAACAGCCAGCCTTACACTCTGGCTCCCAAGGCTGGACGCTGTTGGCTTCGACGCTCCAGGTGACGTTGGGCGAGCGGTGCACATGCGCAGGTATGCCGATCACTCGGTAGAGCTGACCGATGCTCATCACGTTACACAGCTCATCTATGGCGTGGAGAAGGGAGTCGGGGAGGTGGAACAAAGCAATCAGTCCCAAAGGGAATAAAGAAAGTCACATGCCATGCCAGCCAATGCCAAGACAAACAAGCACGAGGCCCTTTTCGAAACAAAGATTCGGCTGTGTGCTTGTCGAAACGAGTGTTCCTTGCACTTATTAACATGTTAGTAACGGGAAGCCGGTGGATTCCCTTCCAAAATATGTTAATCCCGGGCCGTTGAGTTTTTGCGAAACCTCCCCCAGGGGTAGCGGCTGGACGGCGTTACGAGCGGGGGCAGAAACACTTAATACCTCGCCGAGCCAGATGCAGACTTGTATTTATTTGAACTTCCCCTCTCCCTCCTGCAAACTGTCTTCCGCAGTGAGTTTCGCTTAGCAAAAGCCGGACGATATTAATGAGCGGACTCCACCGACGTGACTGTGTGTAAATAACAGAAATTAAAATCGCATTTTTCAGTGTTGGGAGTGAACGTAATGGATGAGGTGAGGTTTTTGCAAACAAATATCAGCCGTGTAAATGTTTGGCCGGTTAATTTAGGGCACGTCTTTGCTTCGCAAACGAAAGCTGATCCGCCACAACTCACCAGGGCTAATTTGATTTACTGTTCCCCGAAACAATGACATCACTGTACGGCGGAACCTCCAAAATTGTGTTATTTTTTTTCCCTAGAGTAATAACGTCAGTGAATTAGGTCCCCTCGCTGTAAAGTATTGATAGAAATATATTTGGGGGATTTTTGAGTATATTTTTACAGAAAAGTTACAGTATGGCTGTAAATACTTTTTTTGTAGTTTTAGCTTATCTTATGTAGCTTTTTAGCTTAGCTTTAGTAGTTTATACACTCGACTTCTACATATTGGGAATTTTAATTACTGTACTTTTATTGTTATGGAACATGTACAAGAAGTGACCTCAGATTCCAGGTATTCACATTTCTGTCTACAGACAGAAAAGAACCTCTCCCCGCTATTTTTGACAGTATATCCACAACACACGACATGGAATCATCCCTAAAATGGTGAAGTAAAACCATTCTAATGTCTCGTTTTATAACTTGCAAAGCTCATATTTTACTGAGCAGACAGGGCCTTTTCTGGTTATCATCACTTTTCTTGCCATGTTTCGTTTGACTTTGCATGCATATTTTCCTGAACATTGTGGTTGGCCTCCACTTTTTTTTTGCACTTTTAGTGGTACAGTGGCTTGCACACTCGCCTTTTACACCTTGGGAACTTTGACTCTACATTTATTCCTCTGGAAAACATACAATAATTACATCTGTGGCAAGATACAAGGCTTTGTGATATTTCAACCGAAACCAACTCTAAACTGACCCAGAAAAACAGAAATCGATGGACGCTTTATGTATATGCTATACAATTACCTCTGAGGAACAGTGTGACCGACTGGTATCTGAGTGAGTTCTGTTGAGGGGCACGAAGGACGTTAAGTGCATCGACATGGATCAATTCCACCAGCTGCTTGTCTGCAGAGGGGAGAAAAGTTTGATTCAAAAGTTAATGTATTTATTCATTTATGTTTTTAAATAAATTGTTTATTCTACGGCCATATCACCCAGCCCTAATATACAGAGCTTAAAATGTTGGTAAGGAAGTTTCCAGCACACTCTCTCATGCACCTCCCAACACTCTGAACTTGACATCCTCTCTGAGAGGTGAGGTGCAGGCCAAGCAAATGAAGTCGTTTCTCACAGTTGCCGACTCGGTGGCTCCGGGCGCGTGAACCCGAATAGTGTGGAAACCTGAAGCAAGCAAGCGCAGTGAAAATTCAGTCATCCAGTACGTAGTTTGTCCAACAACAGCAAAGTCTGAACCCCTTACCCAAAGAGAAGGGACAACTGTCGTTACTGCATAGGAACCTGGCCCCCCGGGTGTATTTAGTGACCCTTGTGGTAGCGATGACCAGGCCTTCCATGAGGACGAGCTTCATGCTGTGATGCATGCGAGGAAAACGGGCCAAGTCCAAGACATACTCGGGAAATGGAGGAAGATGCGTCAGCTTCAAAATGACGCTCACCTCAACAGAAGCGGAGAACAACTTGTATATACTTCAAAATATCTTTTGCACATTTTTAAGACAGTTTTAAAACCAGTTATTTTTTAATCATTCTTGTCACCTGGGTACTTCTGTTTGCTATTTTTTTTAATCATTCTTGTCACCTGGGTACTTCTGTTCAGTTACATCATACTGGGTTATGTTGTGGAATGTGCTACCTTATTAAAGACAATTATTCCCATACCTGGCACTCTGTTTGTATTTTCTCAATAAGTGACATTTTCTTTATGGCCATGAAGCAAACCTGTGAGAAGAAATAACCAGGATCAACCAGTCAGAAATGCTACAGCGTCAGTGGACGGACATTTTTATTCGTGCCGGTGCCTCCCTTACAGACTGAAACAAGGCAGTGGCTCGCTGGGGGTCGTGTAATATGCAGTCGCCCAGTTCAGGGTCCACCTCAACCACATCAGAAGGATTGACGGTGATACAAAAGCGATACACGGCCTCGTTGTGCTGGGGGTCTATCAAAAAGAAAACGAATTCTGCTAATTAGCTCAAAGCTAGGTGTAAGTCCCTAAGTACCGGCGTTCAGTTTAATTTACCGTTGAAGGAATCGCAGTCTTTGGCGAGTTTCTTCAAGCCGCCACTCGTGTTAAGATAGGATAGAATGGATTTTTTTAATGTAAATATGTTGGCCATTTGTATTTGCTAAAAAGTCGAACTTTAATTTTTTTTTCGAACTGCCGCTCGTGAATCTAGTTTCCAAGGCAACCAGGCTCGAATAGCGGGAGAAATGGTCGTGACGCCATCAAAACAGGCCGCAGAAGTAGTAGAAGTAAATTCACTTCCATTCACGCACGTCATTTTCAAATACGTTTTCTTTTAATCTCAATGCCTTCACTTGCTTAAGTTTTCTCAAAACTTTCGTTCTAGGCGACATCGTTTCCACGGCAAACCAACCCGAGCGACGCCGAAGTAGTGATACGTCATCAGAAACGACCACAAGCAGGTACATTTTCACATTTACACAATTTATCCTTACTCATGACATTTTTTTGGGCCAAATCACACCCCAAAGACTATAACAATACTATAAACGATTTTATTCGCAATGATTTGTAAACGTCGAAACTTTTGCCGAGTCTGTCTGTTCGAAGGCAGAGCCACACGTGATTTGAACGTGTCGTCATCAAAAACGGACAAAGAAAAGATAATTCACGAGCCATCACACAATTAAGAGCAAATCGTTATGAAATATTGTTTCAAATCTCCAGACAGACACTTTAACATTTTCTTTATTACTGTGCAGTAGCATAAACCCACTAAAGTCTTTGTAAAAGAAAAAAAAATACATCATTTCAACAAATATGACCTGTGATACACACAAACTGCTTTTTTGAGGTCTCAAGTAATTCTACAGCCTAGAGTTTAGAATATGAAACAGGGTTTGTTTCACAGCAATTACATGGAAATGATATAAATCTATGTTCGTAGTAAAGTGGTGACACAAACATATTTTACTGTCCAATTCTGTCCTTTAAAGTCCAGTGACTTTTTTTTTACAATACAAAGTTAAGGCACTTATGGGGTGGCATCAATGCTGAACAAATGCCCTTATTTCTTAAAATAGCATCTTTCATATAGATATATTTCTATACAATATAAATGGGTAAAAAAAAAAAAAGATTTATTTCCATCCTAGTTTGATCCCAATAAAATCAGTTTTAAGTGCTGTTCCATATCATAGCTGCTTCCTTTGGCTTTGTAGAATAAGTGACGTGATGCAATTTTCGTCCCTTTAAGACCGTCGGGGATATATTACAGAAATGAGTCCTCAGAGGGTGGGGCGTACGAGAAGCCCACAAAAGCGTCGTCGGCCTCCATCACACTGGCGTTGACGATGGAGTGTTCCTGGGTCCAACACACAGAGTTGGGCACCATCTCCTCAGTGAACTCGGGATCAAAATTTGAGATGTCGGAGTAAGAGTTCTATTTAAAAAAAAAAAAAGAGAGAGAGAGAGAGAGAGAGAGAGAGAGAAAATAGAAAGAAACACCTTTTGAAATATGTAATAAAAATACAAAAAAGTGTAAAAAAAAAATAGGCAATAGATTAATAAATTGTGGCTTTGACGTAGGGCATTTCCACACAAGCTGCTTAAATATAACACTAATAAAAAACTAAGATAAGTACCACGTTGGGTGTAAATGGGGGAGGAATCTTCTTCTGTTCAAGGTCATTCCAGTTTATGGTGGAGAAGAAGGGGTGCGTTTTGATCTCATTCTGGAAAAAAAATATATATCGAAAGATCAATGTCAGTTAAAAACATGTTTGTGAAGTAGTTGGCAATTATAGGAAAAAAAAGTGAATGTGTAAATTTTAATGTGTGCAATCTTTTATTTTTTACATTAAATAAATTTTGTATACATTTCATGTAACAATTAGAATTTCGAGGGGGATGATTTGGTTGCAATGGTGTTTGACCACTCCACTAGATGGAGCTAAAACAGCATATATTAAAAAAAAAAAAAAAAAAAAAAAAATGTGTCCACTCACAAAGTCTTCCCTGGCTCCCAGCCTGAGCGCTCCATCTTTCTCCAGAAGGCCTTGCAGCAGAGACCAGGCCGCGTTGGACGCGCCGGCGCGCATTACCAGCGGCTTGTGCAGAATGTTGTCATACATCTCATGCGTGTCCCTGCTGTAAAACGGCGGCTAGAGAAAAAGGACGGCCATTATCTTCGCAATACGGCATCTTTACAGACGTTTGGTGGACCGAAGAGAAGTCTCACCAAGCCAAATAGCATCTCATAGAGCACGGAACCCAGACACCACCAGTCGACGGTGTTGTCATACGGCTGCTTCCTCAGCACCTCCGGAGCCAAGTACTGGTGGGCGGAAAAAATAAACCATGGTCATCTCCCATATTCTTGTCAATCCGGGTTTCGTAATGACGACGGTTTGGATTGGTACAAATTCCTCCTAATCTTATTGGAAAAGTGGATTGAATTGGGAGGGTGTCCACTGTAAGAAGTGAAGGCACACCTCAGGCGTGCCACAAAAAGTACTGGTGGTGTCCGTCTGAGAAATGCCTTCCTTGCACAAGCCAAAGTCCGTCAAAACGATGTGACCCTGTAAAAGAGGAGAGGACGTGTTTTGAGATGGCATGCGCTACAACAAGCATTTTGTTGATTATACAGCAGACGACTGAGTGAGGCTATTGTCAGCCCCGGAATGTTGACTGTCCCGTTCGCAGTTCCCAGATTTTCTCCCTGCCGCTAGGTTAGGTGGCAATCATTTGAACGAGCTAATCCAATCACATGCATTCTATTCCAGATGGAACCGGACAGGATGTTGTGTGTAGAGCTAGTTAGAAGAGAAAGACTAGACTAATGTGTGGTAGTATAAACGGGAAAAAGGGGGCCACTGTTTGGTGGTGACCTCTTGTCAACAGAAAGAAAAAAATAACATCTAAAATGCCTACTGGAAAAATGTGAAAGTAACAAAAAATTATATGAAAGTAAAACTCAGATTTTCCTTCATTTTTACAATCCAGAATAACTTGACAGTCCTGTGCCGGAATTAGCAAAGCAGCCCCAAAATATAACTGAGCCTCCGCATCATATCTTTTTGTTGTCCTCCTTTAACATTAGGGTACCAACAGTTTTTGTGCTTATTGATCATTGCCAGTTTACTCACTTCGTGGTCAAGGAGGATATTTTCAGGCTTCAAGTCCCTGAAAGGAACGATCACAATTTTAGTTGATTGCTTGCTTTCACGTACCAAAGACTTGTTGAAATATCATCCTCTGTTGTATGTCATGGGACCAAGAGTTCGTACCTATAAACGATGTTGAGCGAGTGCAGATAGCCGAGCGCGCTGGCCATTTCGGCAATGTAGAACCTGGCTCGGGATTCCAGAAAGGTCCGCTCTTTTTGAAGGTGGAAGAAAAGCTGACGGCGACAAGCGAGTCTTGTCATTAGTCATCGTTCAAAACTGAATCCGTGAGATGGTGAATTGTGTACTTGCAAGAATTTAAAATGTAATTTATCTTTAAAATTGTATTTTAAATCACATTTTTAAATGATGCCTGCAAAGAAATGACGCGTTTAAATACTTTTATTTTAATTTGTGGCTGTACAAACCTACCGTTTGATTTGGTGAAATAGGTACAAAACGTGATTCGATTTTTAATTCAGATTTGAATTTAATTCTTATTTTAATTGTTTGAATACATTTTCTGACACTGTAATAAAATGTTTGAAATTCCAATTCAAAGGCTAAAATGTGAACAATTATTCAAATGTAATCCATTTAAGTGTTGTTTAAAAAAATACATTTTCATAATTTAAATTCAATACCAAATAAAAATGTAAATAATATACGTATTGTTTTAAATCAAATCAAGGAACAGGATTTATTTTTTCTAATGGAGGGTGTGTGTGTGTGTGTGTGTGTGGGGGTCAATGTTACATGACGGCTTTTAGAAGGAAGATCCACAGGGGAAGTCTTCGCTTCCATTCTGATTAAAAACGTTGACACGTGCGCTCGCTACAATTCGCCTCAGTCAAATTCCTCTGACAGCACTTGTGTGTTTTCCTTTTTCCATCATCAGCTGTTTTTAAACTCATGACTCACTACTCACTTCCCCTCCGTTGACGAAATCCAAGACAAAATACAACTTGTCTGTGGTCTGGAAGGAGTAGTGCAGGCCCACCAAAAAGGGATGTTTCACGTTCTTCAGCAGCACGTTGCGCTCAGCCATGATGTGTTTTTGCTGAGAAACCGAAAAAAAAATCAGCATGCGGTACTGGAAACACGGATCTTGTTTTATTGCAGTCTTACCTCTTTTCTGTTGAGAATGACCTTTTTCTGTAGGACCTTGATTGCATAATACTTGGAGTCCAGCTTCCTTTTGGCCAGGAACACCTTGAAGTTAAATTTAAATTAAGAGTATTTTAAAGAAAGAAAAAAAGATCAAGGTGTATATTATTCGACTGTAAAAGGCCAAACTGTACTTCCCCCGTTCTTAGAATATTTGCATACCTTTCCAAAACTCCCCTTTCCGATGACTTTTAAAAAGTCAAAGTCGGTGGGTTTGGCGCTGAAAAACAGATGACAATAAGTTCCTTGTCTACCTGTAATGCGTCACATATTTTGAACATACTGTGGGTTGCCAGAGGGTCCGAGGTTAATGTTTCTGGAAGTTGAATTGTTCTGTCAAAGAGCACAAATTAAAAAAAAACAAAAAAAAAAAAAAACATTAATACATGAGATCACAAACTGGAGTGAAGGAAAAAAAAAATCGATATAATTTTTATTATTATTTTTGGGGGGGCTCAGCAATGTCAAGGTCAGCAGTTCTCAAACGTTTTACACTAAGTAGCACCCAAAAAACCTCCACTTGGCTCTCCAGGTACCAGCACCTTGACCGATGTTTGATTGTCATTATTTTTGTTTTATGTTGGAATATTTTAACAGATAAATAAGTAAATCGGCCGATCGTCAAATTGTCAGTATTGTCCAATTCATCAGTCAGGCCTTCGCGGAATCCGATGAAAATCAAAAATATGTGAAGTACAAAATCCACAACGCTACTCGTGATCTTTATTGACTAGCTCAGAGGTGTCCAACTCAAGGCCCGCGGGCCAGATTGGACCCGCCACATCATTTTACGTAGCCGGCGGAAGCAAATCTAGTTGTCACCTTCCGTGAAAAATCTGTCCCAATTTTTCAAATGACCATTTGTGATAATAACGTTGAAATATTAAAATTGAGTTCTGATTTCAAAATTAGTTTTCCATTCATTTGTTATGTACTGAATTTTCGCCGGTGTCGGGCGGAATCCTTGAACCTCAAAAGTCATCACGGCTCAATTTCTTCAACCTTAAAATTTAATTGTCAAAGAGCGCAATTGGTCAATAATTTGTAAAAGTTCTCCAACCCGTGGACTAGAAACCCTTGCCGCCAAGCAGACATAAATATGAACATTTTGATCGACTTCAACTTACTTT